GGCACGTATTGTTCGCCGATTCTTGGACCTGAGTCCCTGACCCCGGCCGACTGTGCCATTGCCGGGAAATACCGCCTCTCCCATTTAAAAATTCAAAATTAATCTTTGGGCCTTGGGAGAGGCGAGAGCTTAAAATAAATACAATAATAATAATAATAAATAAATAATAATAATAAAATAGTTTAAATTCGTTAGCGATCCAAAGTTTGAACCACTGTCCCAAACTGCACTTCAGAAATACCGATAAATTCATACGTAACCTAAACAAAACTTAATGATTCCTGTGGTCAAATTGATTGTCTAATGAATAAGCCCTTTGTTCCTTGAAAGAAAACATTTGCTGTGAGATTTATTGTAATATTTACAATTAAATTTTGTTTAAGAAATTACCTACTATGGTAACACATTATTACATATTTTATTCATAAAGTTTTTGCTAGTTCATTTTTTAGGTATTTGCGAGAGGTATTTTCTGTCACAATGTTTGTGATTATGGTTGCGTATGTGTTATTCATTTTATTAATTTTATCCGGAGGGAGGGTTGCAAAATTAACTGCATGACGAAAATATTCATTACAAGCGCAGTTAAATAGCTGTAGGGCTCCTTGTGAAAGAGTTCGTTCAAGGAAGTACGGCCACACTACCTATATCTGCTGCCAAGCAGTAATATGAGCATTACAGAGTTCCGGTTTTGAAGGGTGCTGGTGAAATTATAACCACATTATGAGACTTAAGAACTTATATCTCAGGGCGGCAGGCGCAGGGCAAATGTTATGGATAGACCTGTCGCTTATCACCAAGCGAACGACTTGTTCGTCCCGTCATGTCACTTGGTATAATAATAATAATAAAAGTTATTTTGCGCGATTTAACATGTATTTTCAGTACACTGAACTAAACTCTTACCCGTGGTCGTCTTAAATTCTGTGTCTATACCATGAGTTTACTGTGACAGTTCTGGCTAGCGGCAGCGCAGCATACTTGTATACAAAATGTTACTTCATCTTCGTAACCGCTAGAGGCGCTGTATAATTTGTTATACAAAATTATGAAGTAATTTATGCGGTCGCTAGCAACAACTGTCACAGCAAACTCATGGTAGAGACACAGCTGTCGCTAGCGACTGTGTTATTTATTTTACACTTTTGAATGAAAAATTGTACAACGCCCCTAGCGGTCACAAGGAAAGTAACATTTTGAATGCAAATGTTTTACATAGCCGCTAGCGAAAACTGTCAATGTAATCTCATGATAGAGGCAGTGGCGGATTTACAGTCTTGGCCGCCCTAGACCTCAGGCCATGTAGTCAGTGCCTACCAGCCGCCTCTTTCTCAGCACTCATCATATACTGGTAGACTACATAATGAATTTACTTTACTGCCAACTTTTATCGAAATCGATTCAGAAATTTAATAATTTTAATATTTTTCTAGAACATCGATTTGATTTATCTCTGTTAGGTTCGGGGCGCACGTCAGTAAAGCGCTAAGCCGGCATAATTTTTTCCGACATCTTCAACATTTATTTTATATTATTTATTTAAGGTTATATTTAGGCCAACTTACACAAAACCCAAATAAATTATACACTTAATCTAATTCAATCACTCTGTCTAATGGTAAACTCTATATCTATGGTGAAAACCGTCAGGTCAGTAGTTTTTGAGTTTATCGCGATCAGACAGACAGACAGACGCGGTAGTGATAATATGTAGTGATAATCACTAAATATTATCACTACTCGGAGAGTGCGGGCGAGATGTGGGGATTGTGACGTTGAGCCACTACCGTGCGCCCGCCGCGCTGCTCTCATCTATCACTCACGCGATAATATAGGTTTCGATGGAATAAATCCCTATAGAAATATAGAAATATAGGGATTTATTTAAGGTATAAAAAACCGTGAGAAACCCAGTGAACATGTTTGACTTTTGTCTCCACTGAAATCTGCCGTCCCTAGGACGCTGCCGCCCCTAGGCCGCGGCCTATACGGTCTATTTATAAATCCAGGACTGGATAGAGGCACAGGTGTCTTGTTATATTTGTTTCCCTAGTGCATTGCTATGAGTGTGTGCGTCATACGCGGACCTATTCCAAGTGTAGGTATTATTTCTATTCTTCTGTATTAATTCTCGTTAACTGTTCTGTAAAATCCAGCGCACCCTTACGTTATTTAAATTTAACGTAACATCAGCCTTCGTATATAATTTTCGTAACGGATGCACACAAACATACACGTAGATGAAACACAGTCATGCGAAAAATTCATTGATTGTAATTACTCAGGTATATAGCAGTATTGTTTTATTAATAAAATATGTCTGTTTATAACAGTAATAAATCTAGGAATTTATGATTGTAATCGTAAATCTGTGAATATCGGGAACTGGAATGTAATTCGCCATGCTTCATTTTATAAAGAGGACCTTGTACAGGGACAAGAGCACGTCAAGCCTGAGATTTAAAACTTAAATCCAATTCTACACCGCTTAATATAAGAACGGTCCAAAGTACAAAGTGTTAAACTTGATGTGCTCTTGACTGTACCAGTAGTCAACGGTCCTCTTGAACATTTTTTTAATAAAAATAATAAGTATAAATTTATTTTACCTATGGAATAAATGATTTTTAGTTTGACTTTGAGTTTGAGTGCTTATTTGACCTCCATCTTACCTGATAGAAAGTGACGATGCGGTCGACGATGTAGCATCCACACCTAAATAATGTCTATTCAGTCTCTTATCCTATTTCGTTCTCCTTAATCGTCATCTTAGCCGAAATGATGAATAAAGAGAACAAAATTAAGACCAGGGATATATAATAAAAAAATCACTCTCTACGTAGTTTTCTTAAAAGGTTCGAATACCTCGGTTTATTACCCTGTTCAAGCAGTGTCATTATTTGCGCGTAATTTGTCATCTAGCTGACCTCAGAGAACTGTATATTTGTATTAGAATTTATTTACTCCGTTAGCACTGCGACACGAAGTAAATTGGCCTCCGGATACGAATTGGCGCCAGCGCGCCCTGTCTTATACGATCTCCTCCCATTTCTCTGCGTGCAGGACGCGGAGGTTTTTCTCCACTTAAACGTAGCGATTTCTAGCTTATCCCGTGTAGGCCCTCTTCACCGCCCTATGCTATAATGCTAGCTGGCATTCTTTCGAGGTATCTGAGCCAAAACAGAGTAAGTTTTTTTAATTTAATTTACTCATTAAATTTTCATACTTATCAAAGAATGAAACGTTGTCCAGACTAAAATAGTTTAAAACATGGAAAATAATTACTTTGTTATAATTAAATAAATGATGTTTTTTTTCCTTTTGGTGTTGTATAATTTTGCTTCGTATGATTTATATTATGCTAATCTGTTCCAGTAAATACCTACTTGATTAAAATCTTGTATATTATGATGTGTTCTGTCACGTACATTAAAATAATGTTATAGTATAATGCATACTCATTATTTTGCACATTATACCACATTACTAATAGTGTGGTATAATGTGCATGTGTTATTATCGGTATGACCGGTATCAAGGTAACAATAAAATAATCCCCGGAAACGTCCGATGTTTTTTTAAGCTTGTCAACATGGGTTATTTATCATTGGTAGTAAGTAGCAGTAGAGCTCCTTGTGAAAGAGTTCGTCCAGGGAAGTACCACTACTCTGAGACATAAGTTGACAAATACCATGACTTGTCAACTTATGTCTCAGGGTGACGGGCGCAGTGGCAGTTTGCCTCAGATCTTTGCGATTTAAAGAGACGAGTGGCACTGCAAATGGTTGGACAGGCGTGTAGCTTACCATCAGGCGCACCACTTGTTCGTCCCGTCACTTGATATTATTTAAAAAAATCGAAACAAGTGAAAAAAATGATTTCCGAGAATATTCCCTAGGAAAATCTAGTTTGAATTTCTTTACTTTTACACAATTAATGCAAATTTATTGATATATTTTTTTTTTCAGATTCTTTACTTATAATATGAAGTGACGGGACGAATAAGTCGTGGTGCCTGATGGTAAGCTACACGCTAATTAATACTGGAAATTTCCAAATAAATTATTAAGGTGTCACTTGCAAATATTTTACATTTTTGCAAATGACACACGCAATACGAATCCTAAAGAAAACAAATTAATTTTATTTTATGAACTCATTCCGTTCCGCACAGTCATTAGCGAACTTTGCTTGCCTATTCTTTAAAAATTTGTTTTACGTTATAGCAATTACCAATTGCCATATTAATGCACTGGAATTTATTTATGATATAGTCGAACATAACGATACGTTAACTCTTTCAATGTGCGTAACTTTGATGCAACAAAAAATAGTGTAACACCCCATAGTGGGACCCCCTTACTACATTACTAGGACTCCAGCTCCCACTGGAACTTGTTATTTTACATAAGATGTAACTACCCATATACCTTTTTGTGAGAAAAAGGTATTTTATGTTGTATTGTATGTAAATATAATATACACCCAGCACAGTGGAGAAAATAAAGGAAAACTGAAGAGACAGCAACCTTTTTGGGAATCGAAATGATACATTCGTTGATCTGGTTCGTGAGAGTACTACACAATATGCTCCTCTAGGCCATACTGCCAGAGTCTATATAAATTCGAAGTTGTCTTTCGCACTGGCCAGTCGACACTTCTCTTCCAATGGGAACGCCGCTTAAACTTTAAAACAAACTATTTTCGAAACTGGAACACCGAAGTGAACACTTGACTCTTAAATTTGCGAATTTGTGGTGTGAATGAACTTTTTTGTGATAAGTTTAAATTTGGAATTTTTGTGAAAAAAAGGTAAGTTTGTTTTAAAATAATTTGAGAACTTGTTTATAATAATAATTTGGTTTAATTAAAGTATTTAAAAAAAATACTAAAATATTAATTTGTCTATGATGATGGTTTGAGTGATGATATTAACATACCGAATTATATTTACAAAATATTTTTTTTTAATTTTATCTCGTCGATTATAAATTATTTAATTATAATTATATTTCAAATGTTTATTTTAAATTTTTTAAATTTGTTTTTGTGTAAGAATAATTTAAAAAAATTCAGAAGCATTAAACTTACAACGAATGTTTGAACTATTGTTTCTTAGTTTTTACATTTTACGGCAGGAATATGATAATAACCATGAGAAGTGGAATTAGTTTCATTGCATTCCCTGCCGCAGATAATGTTTTAAAATTCGCATAGGAGTTGGCGCTGTCGGCGCTAGATCATGAGGTCATGGGTTCATTCTCGGTAGAATTAATAAGGGAAACAAACTTTCAGTCTTTACTCTACTTTGGTATTGGTAATACAGGGAATTCCCAAATTCGAAACCGGATAATTTGTGAGGTTATTTGGGACATTATTATTATAAGTTCGTTTTTAAAGTGCGCTTGAATAAATTTTAATATTTTTATTAACTGCCTCCGTGGCCGAACGGTTACCGTGCCGCCACGCAGAGATCCCAGGTTTGATTCGTCCTGGTCGGGAGAAATTTTTGTATGGCCTCCATTTATTTATCTCGTGTATTTGGGTGTAATTTGTGGTTGTCTATGTGTGTGTCCATGGCACACACATAAACACAAGGTTTCCCTAGTGCGGGGCTATGTTGAGTGTGTGTGAGTGTGTGCGTTATTTTTTTTTTATATATTGCAAAATGACGATGAGATCGACGTCTTAGCATGCGCACTTAAATATACCTTTAATTTTTTTAGTCTAGTATCTTTTGGACCCTTAATCGATTATCAGCTTGTTAAAAATTTACTAATAAAAAAATAATTACCCTTTCCTTTCGGTTTGCAAAAAACTTTTTTATACAAAAATAAGTGCGCATTTGACCTCCATCTCACCTGATGGAAAGTGACGATGAGGTCAACGATGTAGCATACACACCTAAATAATGTCTATTCGCTTTCACCATGAAAGGCTCTAGTTATAGCGTTCGGGAAATAAGTCCGCAGGCAGGGAATTCCTCTCCCTAGCCGCCCGCCATATAAATGTGGAAACATTTCGTGCGAATACTGATATCCTGAATATCCAAAACATACGAGTGGTACCCCAAGCTACGTCTAGTCCCCCTAAACCAAAAGTCACAAAAGTTTCACTAAACCAAAAGTCGTCGAAATCAGCATAAAAATGCAGGATATATTATTATTATGAGGTGACATAAAAACAAACAAATGAGTTTTAAACATTTGCGAAAGGGCAAAAAGAAACATAAAATAATAATATAAAAAATCATTTATAATTTCAAGTTCTGCTTAATAATTTCGTAACGGATGCGATGAGTAAACAATTCCAGGTTGACGTTATTTGTTCGTATTACAGTAAGACTTTTGTACAGAATCGACACTCTGTCCTTTTCAGAAAATTTAATAATATTGACATTAGTGATGATTTGTTCTAGTGGTTCTCTTTGTATATTAACAAGTAGTGTTAGATAATTGTTATCAACAACTACATCTTCAGATAGGTAACTGTTCATAACGGTGTCCCTCAAGGACCATTACTGGGGCCGCTTCTATTTGTGGTCTTTGTGAGTGATGTTGTTCTGCACCACCGCTCATTTCAATTATTGTGTTACTAAGTGTATCTGATTTTGAAAAATCGGGTCCTGTTCGCGTTGATGATTATTATGAGGTCAGTGAATTAGACCTGAATGTCTGAGAGTCGTATTTCAGAATTCTACTCAATGCTCAAGTCAGGATTTGAGCAGACTTGAGTATGATTTCAAGCACAGGAAATACGACCCTAATGGCAAGGACTTGAGTATGATTTTCAGTGCTCACTGCAATACTCAAGTCCTGACTTGAGTGACTTGAGGAATACGACCCTTAAAATGCTATGTTCTTAAAATTTGATCGAAAATGGAATATTATCCTATCCGATTGTGTTCTGTAGGAAGAAAAGCTGCAAAAATCTGGGAGATATTCACGGTTTCAAGTTACTCTTTGACACGCGTATTAATTTTGTAATTACCACAGCCATTAGGGCATTGGAATTTGTAGTGCGTGGTTTGGTAAACTTTCAAATTGCAAAAAATGATTAAAATATTATATGTACTTGCAAAATCTTGTACTGGGTTATTATCTCATTATAAAGTGGATGTATTAGATGTACGCAGAAAAATGTATTCGTTATTTGTGCTTCAAAATTAATCAGTAATATCTTTGTAGTTATTTAGATATTTGTAAAAGACATATAAAATATCACTGACTGTCCCGAGCTCTCATATTTGGGTATGGTTACAAGGTTATATGGCTTACAGTTTAACTGTCTCCTTGGCCGAACGGTTACCATGCCGGACTGGCACGCAGAGGTCCCAGGTTCGATTCCCGGGCCGGGAGAAATATTTGTAAGTCCAACATTTATTTCTCTCATGAGTTTGGGTGTAATTTGTGGTTGTCTATGTGTGTGTCCATGGCACCCGCGATACAGGGTTTCCTTCGTGTGGGGCTATGTCGAGTGTGTGCGTTATTATATTATTATTATATATATTTTATATTTATAATTATTATAGCTAAATATCGCAGTAATAATACTTAATACGTCTCAACCTATTTTTTTTCATATATTGATCTATTCAACATTAGCTGTGCGTTCGCAAACAATTTTTTATCTATTTCGTTTTTTATCAGTCTGGCGAGTTAGGAAGTGTTGTTTATTGTAAATTTGCTTATATATTGACATATTTGTATGGATATTTTATTAGTTTGTATATTACCTTATATTAATAGGTATATTTAAATGGATGAGTAGTGTGAGTCTGACCTACTTATTGACTGCCGAAGGGCATCACTATGTCAAGCTTGTCGATGAGCTCGATCACATAGTAGGGATAGTGTTTTTTCCTTAACTTTGTAGTCTTTGTTAACTAACTGTGTTATCAATGCTTATTTCTTACTCATTTAATTTCTATGAATAGGAAACTATTTGCTTACTGTTGTTAATTTAACATCTGATATTGATTGATGCTGTGGTAGAATATGGTGTAACGGGGTGGTGTCCACAATTCGACGTCTGGGTGCTTATTTCGCTTGTGGTGCTCTTTTAGGATCAGCATCCTCTTGGGACAGTTGAAGACTTCGAGAAGCGACCTCGGCACTCCAAGGTATTCCGCCCTGTAGTGAGCCACGCCGCGGGAGCATTATGCGGGGCCGTTTCCTCTACCACCATAGACGCTGTGTGTAGAGTGCTGTCCGTGATAACAAAATTAAAAATTTGTTTATTATATGGACCATGATCGTTAGAGCGATTAGAGCATGTAACACTTGCCTTTTGAGCTTAAGAAATTCTTGGGATAGACTGGCATTGAGCGTTGGGAATGCTTCCTTAGTCTGTCTGCTAGCCATCAAAGTTGTCCAGGTGTTGTTGTGATAAGTTTTAGTCCTTAGTACATTTGTATATACCGTACATTGTCAAAGTGGCCCCTACCGCTCCCCAGTGGTGCTGAAGAGCCCTTGGGGGGCGGTAGGTGCCTCAGAAGCAATCTGAGGGCGTCGATGTTGTTTAGGGGGTGCTAACGCATTAAAAAAACAAACCAAAAAAAAACCTGAATTATCTATATAAACTACACTACATATAATATTATAACATTTTTTCCTAGTGATTTTTTGTGTTAAGTTAATATATAAAATACTTGTTTTCAATTATTTCTTGCGGTGGTGGGCGTTGAAATATAAAATAAATTATATCAAAATAAATTTTGCATAAGTGGGCGGTGAGCCAAAAAGCTTGGGAACCTATGGTATATATACCATTGGTAAGGGACGGATTCTATGCGTTCTGGTCCTACAGCATTTGTCAGAGGGCTGATGCTACCATTTATTTACATTGGTACGTGCCGCACTTCGTCACACTTTTCTCGACCCGCGCCATATTATATCCTTAAGCTGCTTAAGTACAATTTATGATAAAGGTAAAGTGACAACAAAGTTATCGTACAATATGGCTCCTATAAGAATATATCTAATTTTCAATATCCATTAGCAAAATCGACAAGTGATAGTGTGTTTAAAATATAATAATTTGAATAATAAAAATAGAATAATCAGAGTGGTTGTCCGATGTCGTTCACTTGTCATTCTGTCAAGTGAAACAAAAATTATTTATTCAAAATTGCCTTATTTGGTTCTACAATAGACACGTCGAAATTTTAAGCGCAATACTTGTAAAATTCTAATGCAAAATATACAATGTTTCTTCAAAATTCTGGTCTGTTATTTGTTCTTCATTATTTTAGATCTAAAATTGACTGTATTTTTTTACTTATTTGTTTAAGTTTCCTACTAATACAGGTTTGTCGAGTAGTTCAGGGTTGAAATTGCGTTCTTGTAAATTTCGTGAACTTTAACTGATAAAGTTTATTGATTAAAGTTTGATTTAATCGATGTAAAACTGTTATCATTTTTCAGCTGCTTTAGCTTTACCACAAAATTTAAAAAAAATCTTTAATGCAGATTTTTTTTCAATAAGTTTCAGTAAGACTTGTACTAAATCGATGTTAAAACATGTTAATTTAATTGCTGCTTTATGTCTAATTCTTATTTATAAAACGTTGTTATAATATTCCCCCTTTTTGTTCTAGTTAATTATGATGATATATTTTTTTGACAAAATAAAACGGGAAAAAAATAAAACATAATTGTGAAAACGTGTGAAAAACGGATTTGACGGTCTTAAACTTTAACTAGAAGCATAATTTATTGTATCATATGCAAATTTAGTACATTATTCAAAATAATTTACCATGTTTAAATAGACTGAACCTTTTTATTAACAATAAGTTGAAATATACAGGT